TAAACTGTGAATGTCCTTATCCCATGATAATATTTTAATATTATCTCTTCTTTAAGGATATTGCAAACCCATTAGGGTATCTCTAAAACATACTTAGAAGTTTATAACAAAAGGGCAGTATGCTAATTTATGAATCATGTGGGCTGTGTGAATACCAAGCAATATAGGATCAGGTAGAAGTAAATGATATTCAACTCCAAGCGAAAAGAAATGAAGCCTTAAGTTGTCTCAGAAAAACCAAAGCAAATGCCACAGGCATAATGAGGAAATATGTTTTGATTTCAGTTCCAAGGATAATTTTTTTCTCTCATTCCCTGAAAACAATCTCCCAAATTGGTCTGAGTTAAAGGTAATAGCACAAAATGACAAAAACCAGAAAGAACAATTTTTATAATGAAGCAAAGAACTAGGAAGCCAGTTTGTTGCCAAGGAAAGTAGAACGTCATTCTTGAATCAACTAGACTCCAAAACTAATCATCTGATCATAACTATGACGACAGTGAAGAGGAAATTTTCACTTAAAATTAATATGCTTTTACTGTAAGAAATAACCAAACAGAACACTGACACAGGTAGACTCTTTTTCATTGAGATGAAAAAGAAGAAAGCTGAGGTTACAGATGACCACCATTTTTACAGTGACTAGACACTATCTGGATCCTCCCGGATGAACCCTTTATATCCAATCTGAATCACTCATTTAGATCTACACCATAGACAGGCCCAGGTGCTTGATACAGTCGTTGACTTCTGATGCAATCTGTTAATAGTTTTGTATGAATGTCTACCCTCAACTCCTAGCTCCTTAATCTTTGGTGGGCAAGAATTTTTATTATTATAATTATTCATGACTCCACAGTATCTCAAAAAACATATGCATATGGTAGCCACTGGATGAACAGGTAGAAATTAAACCAATGCAGCAAAAATGGGATTAATTTACATAGGAAAGGAAAAGTACATTGTAGGCAGTGGGGAGTGAAATATGGTGTCTGAAAGTGGCCTCAGGAAAGTGCTCATCTCCGCAGCTTTGCAGAGCTGCTATCAACTATTTTATTGAGATTTCACACATAACATACAATGTATCCTTCATGGAATCTGACATATACAGTGCTTTCAAATCCAACTGCTTGGACATGAATATGCTAGAAGAATGTCCCAAAGACGATTATGTAAAGTAAATCACTTCTACACCAAGAGGTGAATTTCAGATTGCATGAGGGGCAGAGAAGCCGACGGACAAAACAGATGGCAGCACAGTGTCCCACAATGCCACCCCCCAGCATGACACTGCTTTTGCCAGAAGAAATCTGTACTTAAAGTCTAAACAATCTATTATAAACTATTTTTTTTTGTTTCAAGAAATTGGGTAGATTTTAAAAGCTGTTGTTTATCTGGAATTTACCATACTTGATTCAAGTCAAAATATTCCTTAAATGTTTCACATGATGAATTTGGCTGTGTCTGTTGTGTAATGCTGAGGGGTTATACAGCTTGTTGCTACATAAACAAAATAAACTCTTCTGAAGCATCCTTCAAAATGTGAAAGATTGGCAGCCCATGGGCCACACATCTGAGGTCCTCTGACCTGGACATACTTCTCTATTGAATTGGGCTTTCAAGCATTTTCAAGAAGCAAAAACCTGCCGAATGTATCATGGATTTCTTTCCTGGACAGGTTCCTCTGATGGACTTGAGTAAAATGGAAAAATGGAATGAGCTCAACTTTTCCATCTCTTTTGATTTCAGACAATAATAATCCCAAGGCTCCTGAAGCTGTCCCCACAAAACATCATAAAAGATTAAAACAATGAAGTTCCCAACTTCTCCTCAGCATCCTCTTTCTGCCAAGTTTGATTAAACAAGTTTGGATGTGTTCTACCTGTGCTAGACACACTGAATGCAGAGGACTCCTCAGTAATCCTCCCTTTTCTTAAAAAAAATATGGAACAAATGTGCATTCGTTTTTTGGATGTCTTTACTTCTACGAAGGATCCTTTATTTTCTGATACCTTACTTCTGAGACTCAGGGAGTGGTCATGTAACATTGACACAGAAATGATGCAAGATTAAGTTAAATGGGATTACCTAAGCCTCCCGCCTCCTCATTGAGTGGCTAGAAATGTGAAATGGAAATTTAAAATGTAGCCTTAGGAACTATTTGCTGCCGTTTTTATAACTTATTTCTCAATATCTGGCTCTTCCTTGAGACAATCTGGAATTCCAGGATGGGAAATGGAAGACTGGTTTTTGAAGCAAGGTTCTTTCATTTATAACTGACATGATCCTGAAGTGGTGTAGTCATCACTTACCATTACTGCTATTTGAAGAAAGCAATGAGTCATTTAACCGTAACTGATAATGGACCCACACACACAACTCAAGGTGGATGTGGGGTCAAGAGGCTGCAACTGCATACTTTATTGCTGTTCAATAAATTTGGAGATTTCTCTGATCCATGGATAAGAGGAATAGAGAAAAATCTAAAGAAACAAGATTGTGTAGGTACTAATTTCCTTCTGTGTGTGGGTGAATATATTGAAGGACAATAAAGAACAGGATATTTTAATAGGGTTTGAAATTTCAATGATTTCACAACCCCTTGAGGATCAAACCCAAATTCTTCATATAAACTGACCCAAGTCCACATGCCACTGCAAGAGTGGTCTGTTCCAGGTCCTCCATACGCCTTGGGGGAATCTGTCTTTTTTGCTCATGGCACACCTTGTCCAAGAATGCCCTGTGATTCCTCCTCTCTATCTGAGTTCCATCTGGGGTCCCCTCCTCTTTCTTAAAACCTCTTTCGGACATCCCAACACTCTCTGGATTCTTTTCTCTCTAAAATCTCTGAAGCCTCATTGTGCCATGCGTTCGGCTGCTATTTAGCATTGTGCTGTTCTATTATTCAGCCCGGAGAGATCTGTGTGCCTTCTACATGCCAGGCTCTGGCTGCAAACGGAATTGAAGAAGACAGGGAGAGTCTTTGTCCTCGAGACATTCACCATGAGTTGGTAATAAGCACCAGTGCAGCACAGTGGGGTTGGGGCAGATATTTGAGTCCAGCGCTGTGTAAGACTCACCCAACTTTCTGGGTGCAGAATCATGACGTTCCGCCATACCACCCTCTTCTACTCTTTATTGTTGTCACCTCTTGGCCTTTTAGTTCCTCCTCTTCACTCAAGAAAATTTTGTTACCTGGTTCAGTCCTTGTCTCCATACTGCTACCATCGACCTGATCACTTCAGAATCCATGTGCACAGGCCTTTAGGCTCCCAGGCTTCCTCGTCAACACCCCGGCCTCCTATTCCCATGTTTACCACCCAACTGATCCACTTTGGAAATCACTAATTCAAACATCTTTTTTGCTACACAAAATTTTCTTTGTTAAGTACCCCCAAGGTGACAGTTATTCAACTTTACCAGATACTTCTAGTTGACTAACTCCTCCATTTTCTTCCCATCCTTCTACAGCTCCCTTCTGTCTTTCCTTCTTTCACTATCTGGATTAGAGTCTATCACTTTAATTTTTGTATTTTAAATATCTTAAACTCCATCACCCTCGGATCTGTCCCAAACCCCGAAAAAACCCTCAACCCAGGAAGAAACCGACCATCTACTTTCCTCATGTCTGCATATTGGAAATTGGGTGTGGTTGGAACAAAACACACAATGGGAATATCGGAAGCATACAAATTGATGATTGATTAGTGATCAGCACCCAGCTCAAAAGCCTGGAACTGCAACTTCAGTAATGTCTATTTCAAATCTACTCTAATTTCTTCCAACATCCAATTCTCTTGTTATTAGCACTTGACCTTAACCCAACTTCACTGAGAAAGGGAAGGCATGAGATGAACCTTTCTGCATCATTTACTCCCAAGCATATGCTCACCTACAATTAAAATCTCCTCTTCCCTTTGTTACCACAGGGCTTTTCCTCCTCCTACCAAGCTGCTATGTGGAGACTTGGATGGGTTCCTTGCTCTGAAAGTCAGACACAGAACCTGGCCAGCACCCCGCCCTGGACAAGGGGTTCTCAAAAAACCACTTTTGTTTCAGTTGGTGTCACTGGGCTACTTTGTTCTTTATGGCCCAGAGACTGATTCCTTGGAGACCCCTAGGGAGCTTAGTAGTTGTCCCCATTTACTAGTTTTATGGGAAAATGCTGGGACTTGATGTGTTAAGGGATACAAGTGAATAAACAAGGCAGGAGGAAGAGAGAGGAGGAGAGAAGGAAAAGATGAGGGAGACAGGAGCTCCTGAGTGGGTGCTCTCAGGGACCAGCCAGTCTCCATCTTGCCCACCGTAACAGAGGCATTACAGAAGGATGCAATGAATACGAATGTGCTATGCAGATGCTAGGACCAGCAAAGATTTGAGAATTACAGGAACAGAAACCAGACACTGGCTTATCAACCCATTAGTTTCCAAACACTCAATGTGTCAAAGAAACGCTCTGCCAGTCACTGAGGGAGAATATAAACATGAGTCTCTGTGAAACTCCATGCTAGCCATTTCCTTCACATGGAGATCACCATCCCCCCTTTCACATTATTAATTCTTCTTTATCTTTTACCATCCTGCTTTTATTTCTTGTCCTCTGTGAAGCTTTCTCCAAACCCTAGAGCTAGTGACTCCTTGCTCTGTGTCCCCACAGCCAATGGGCAAATTGGTCAGGCTTATATCGCCATATAGTGGGATCAACATTCATGTATTCCATCGTCCCCCTACGCAATCTGCCAAATTCACCATCATGTCTCCTGCACCTAGCATAATTCCGACGAATGAATGAATGAAAGGATGAGAACAGAGGAGAAATGAATCCTGGCCCCCATCCTCTCTGTGAAGGTCACAAGGCATCCCTAACAGCACCTCACCTCATCAATCTCTCCACTGCAGTCAGCACTCCGTGCTGATCCATCAATCACTGCTGATCCTACCTGGTTGAAGGAAGATGGGTGCCACCGGCTGAGACCCCAGGAGTACACTTGGCCCCTCACCTCGCTTGCTGGCAGACGCAGCAGATCCACACCTTCTCATGCTTCTGGTAGGAGCAGCAGCTCTTGCAGACGTTGAACTTGCAGTCCCCACACCGGCGCTTTGTGTTGACGAGGAAGGTGAAGGGTGAGCAGCAGCGCATGCAGCAGTGCTCCACGAACTTCTGGTGCTTCGAGAGGATGCTGCATTTGCTGCCCTCCTCATCCAGCTTCTGCTTCATCTCGCTGGGAAACCGGGTGGGGAAAAGGGTGAGGAGAAGAGAAAAAGCACATCAGGTCCGGGGCTCTTTCCCGAAAGCACCCCATCCTGGCCCTCCCACAGGCCAGACTACCATGTGGGATCTTCCTGTAAAACGATGAAACTCAGAAAGATCAATTGCTTGACATACTATCCAGAGAGGAACCCTAATAGTGGATTAATTTTGTGTACTTCTGTACATCATATTTTCTATGAGAAAACATGAAAACCTTATTACTTATATTCAGACACTAGATTGAGATATGAATTATAATAAAACTAAGCACATACTTGAAAAAGAAAACCTTTAACTTAATTAGTGCCCTTGGAAAGGAGCAGGAGATCATTTCTGTTAGAACTTGAATCCTCACAACAGCCCTGCTGGGAACATGATAAATGCAGTCCTGGCCCTATTTAACATCCTTGGAAACTGAAGCATCCAGAGATTTTAAAAGCTTTCAAATCAATGTAAGTCAATAAGGATTCTCTGGGTTATGGGCAAATCCTAAGCACCGGTGATTCAGAGTTGAATAAAAGACAAGCTCCTTCTTCCAAAGAGCTCATGGTCATAGTGGGCACACGGCCAGTCATATTAATGCAAAACACAACGCCCCACACACTTCTCTCTACACTCAGGGAGAAGGAAGGGAGAAGCGCTGAGAGGTCAAACAGACTGAGTTACCCAGGAAAAAACTGACTGCAAGTGACCAAGGTACTCTGACTCCGTAAGTTTAAGTTGCTTTTCCTGCTACAAAAATGGATGCCCACAAACAGTAACAGAAAAACAATTTATTTAATAATCTAAAATAATTTATTTTTCTGTATCCAGTTTGTGATTGTGTAACTCATCCCAGATAAATCTATGATGTATGTGACAAATATTTTCTCCCATTCTGCACTTGTCTTTTCAACTTTGCTTACGTTGTCTTTCATCATTTAGAAGTATTTAATTTTTCTGTAGTTAAATCTGTCAGTCTTTCCTTTTATGGCTTCTGAGTTTTATATCTTGCTTAAGAAGGCACCCACTACCCCAATCCATTTTTATACATTCTCAATTAGCCCCTGCAGTGAGTTGAATGGTCGCCCCCAAAAAGGTATGTCCACGTCCTAACCCATTGTAACCTGAAATGTTAACTTATTTGGAAAAAAGGTCTTTGGAGATATAATTAAATTAAAGATCTCGAGATGAGAGCATCCTGGATTACCCTGTGGGCCCTAAATCCAATGACAAGTGTCCTTGTAAGAGAGACACAGCAGCAGAGAAGACAATGTGAAGATGGAGTTTAAGTCCTCAGCCGTCTCTGCCTCCGGGATTCCTCCTGTGGCCCTGTCACTGGCCATGTTGCTGTCCCATCTCTGCCCATCTAGGCTCCCTCCTAACTCCTCTCTTTCTTTCCAGGGTCCTCCATGGCCTACCTGACCAGAGGAAAATTCTCAAAATCCCTGACCTAAATGGTAAACAATGGCTGAATACATAGGAGTCACCCTTGCTTGACACATTAGGCATGGGAGCAAATTAATCAGGACATACGCAAGCAAAAAGGAAAAATACTAGAATTACCTGCATTCTTCTACTCAGAGCTATTTAGGAATCCATCCTCTCTCTCCCTCCCCTGCCCTCATATTTTAAAATGGGATGATTTTGAAGCCGAGAAAATTGTCTATCTTTGTTCAGATTTTCAAATTTGTTTGCATAAAGTGGTTCACAGATTTTTCTCATGATTTTAAGACCTCTGCTGTATTTGTAATTATGTCCCTCTTTTCTTTCCGAATATTGCTTATTTGAGCCTAAGCTTTTTCACCCCTTGATCAGTAAGCTCTGATGTTTATTTATGTCGTTAATTTTAAGGAAGAACTAGTATTCAGTTAGCTTGATTGTCTACATTGTTTTTTCATTTTCCATTGCAACAAAGTCCCGTCTTATCTTTCTTACTTCTCCATTCTACTGGTTTTGAGTTTGCTCTATTATTTTTTAGAACTTTTAAATAAATTTTTAAAAAGTAAAGCTCACTTGGGGCTGGCCCCGTGGCCGAGTGGTTAAGTTCGCGCGCTCCGCTGCAGGCGGCCCAGTGTTTCGTTGGTTCGAATCCTGGGCGCAGACATGGCACTGCTCATCAAACCACGCTGAGGCAGCGTCCCACATGCCACAACTAGAAGGACCCACAACGAAGAATATACAACTATGTACTGGGGGGCTTTGGGGAGAAAAAGGAAAAAAATAAAATCTTTAAAAAAAAAAAGTAAAGCTCACTTACTTTTAACATTTATTCTTTTCTAATTTATGCATTTAAGGCTAAAAAACTCTAAACATATCACTTTAGCTGCACCCCACAGGTTTTGATCAGAGCATTTTTACTGTCATTGAGTCTTACTATTTTATAATTCTCAGGTTTAAAATTTCCAAATATATGGCTTTTGTTAGTGATTTTTACTTTATTTTTTAAACATTTTGATCAGAGAAGAGAGTCTAGAAGACATTAATTCTGGTACTTGTTGAGACTTGCATTATAACCTAGTAGATGATCAATTTTTGTAAAGTCCATGTGTGTTTGAAAAGATACTGAGAACAAGACATTAAATTCTCCCATTTTAATTGTGGATTTACCAATTTCTCTTCAATTCTAATTTTTACTGCATATTTTTTAAGACTATAATATTAGGCGCATCAAGGTTTATAAGTATTACACATTTAATGAAATATTTCTTTTGTGATTACATACAACCCTCTTTATCCCTTTTGCTTTTTGTCTTAAAGTCTGTCTTATATATTAATAGTCTATATTAGTCTTTTTAAAATTGATACTGTACCTAGGTCTTTCTTTTTACACCTCTTCACTTTCAGCATTTGTATCATTATGTTTCAGATTGAGATCTTATAAGCAGAACGTAGCTGAATTTTCGACTTTTATCCTATATTTACATTGAGATTACTAACATATTTGGATTTATTTCTACTATGTTATTCTGTGTTTTCTATTTACCATGCTATTTCTTTGCTTCCTCTTTTTCTCCTTTCCTACTTTCTATTAGATTGATTGGTTTTCTTCATTCTCTTTGTTTTGCCAACTATGATTTGAGCTTTTCTGTTCTTTTTCGCTTCTTTTAGTGGTTAATCTTAACATGTTAACATGCATATTGGGATTAATATCTAATGTTTACAGCTTTCCTTTCATCAACAACACAAGTTTTAATTCTCTCTGATGTTATGTTGTTATTGATGTTATGTTGTTATTGATGGTGTTATTGATAGTATTTTGGTTCAATCTTGGTTTGCAACTACAAAAATTATGCTTAATATTGTTTAACTGGAGTTTTAGCCAACCCACATGATGCAGACTGGGGCTTGCCCTCAGACTAAAAGCCCTGACCACAGGAAACCCATCTAGCGCCATTCTCTTCTTCCAAGTATCAATATCCATCTAGTTTCTCCTGTATTTGGTTGCAAACAGGGTGCTGTATGATAATTGGGTTTTGCATTTTGTCCAGAAAGTATATTTTTTATCTGCAGGAGGATTGGTCCACTAGGAGCTTACTCAGCCATTACCAGAAGTGGAACTCATGTACTATTTTCCTAGTTGGTATTTGTATAGATTTATCCACATTTACCAATTTCTTTGCTCATCATTGCTTCTTGCAGCTTATTCTTCATCTTATGTTAATTTTTTTTTATTACTGAAGTTCTTCTGACCATTCTTTCAGCGAGGAAACTCTAGCAGCCTTTATTTGCTGAAAATGTCTATTTCACCTTTATATTTGAATGATAGTTTAGATGGGTACAGAATCCTAAGTTGACAGTTCTTTTCCAAAAGCAGCAAATAATACTGAAAGTATTAGTCCATCTTTCTTTTTTTTCTGACGTCAAATGTTGCAAAGTGAAGTTTGTCAGGCGAATTACTCCTTTGTAGGGAATCTCATTTTTCTCACTGCTCACTTCTAAGAGTTTTTGTCTTTAAGGTTCTCTGATTTCACTATGAATTGTCCAAGTGAGGATTTGCTTATATTTATTCCACTTGGGACTCTTGGTAATTTTCTAAAACATTCATTAATTCTAAAGAATTCTCCAGCCATTATAGCTTTGAATGTTGTCCCTGCTCTGTTTTCTCTACTCTCTCCTTCTGAAATTCCAGTCATACGTCAAACCTTCCATACTCTTCACGCCTCCCAATCTTTTTTCATCTGTTTGTATTTCTGGGATACATTCTGGGCAAGTACTTCATAGCTTCTATATTAGCAATTCTTTCTTCATTTGTATTTTCTCTACTGTTTAACTGTTTTGAAATTTTACTGATTTTAATTTTCATTTCCAGAAGTTCTATTGATTTATTTGCACCTAAATCTGCCTGTCCTTTTCACTTTTGTGTCATTCCTTCCTTACAATTCCTATTCATTCTTTTATCTTTTAAATTATGTTAAACATACTTCTTTTATATCCTCTTCTTGATTCTTATCTTAAATCCTCAGGTGCTAATCCTCTTATTGTGTGTGTCTATTAACTCTTATTCAAGGCGCATTCTTTTCTTCCACAGTTTATCATTTTGGTTGAGGTTTTCTCCAGCCCAGATTGCCTCTCCTGTAATTGCACGTTTTCCGTGCAAGCATTGCCTCAGAGCAGCTCTGCATTTGTTTTCACAAGGCATCACAGGTCGTTGATTCCAGACCAGTTTCATATTTGTTTCTTAGCTTGGGGAATCCTGTGCCACATAAGTAATAAGTTTTTGATCTTCAATAGTATGTGTAGTGGAGGCTTGGGACTTTGAGCTTTGATTTCTTATGCAAGACATCTTTTCTCTCACCCAGGGGTCTAGGGAAAGATCACCTGAATTGTAGCTCCCCTAAGCCAGTGGGTGGAAATTTTCTAGCTGCCCCTTTTACTGAGAGTGAAAACCTCCAATGCCAAATTTTATGCAGGCATCTCAGTCTCGTGCTTGTCCTCTAAAGGCTCAAGGCTACATCTCCTGCCCCATGCAGAAATTAACACTGCAGCCAC